TAGTCGAATATGACATTCAGTGGGGTCATGGTAGTTTGAACTCAACTGCCAGGGTGCCCCACGTGGAGGCAAGTCTATCGCGCACCCCGAGTTCTGAAATATAATTTCGTAAGTAAACGCTATTTTCAATGTGCAAAGGCAATTGTGAATGTCGTTTTAAAAATACGAAATAATTTGCTTGCTTTCTCCTCGTATCATTTGTGATTTGCTTTGAGCGTATAAGTGACACCCCCATGCAGTAGTTTTACATAAGCTCTTCATCCTATTTTCAAGTTCATCTGTTGATGTTTGGGGACAATTAGTCGAGCACTGACCAACAGCTTTCTCGACCTCTGTCAAGCGTGTTTGGAAGTATCCAGACTTTTCGTATTTTGGTGGCTTTCAAACGGCCAGTTAAATATTCAAGGAAACCCCCTTCTGCGTGTTCCATTTATGCTCGCAGATAAAAAGAACCTGCTTTGGTTACTGTTAATAATTACCTTTCGATGTTGTGGCTGAGTAATATTACGATTGAAATTTCACTGACTATATTGATTTGCTGGAGAGACACCTGTAATAGTTTGCTGTTGCGTTGAGTGGATGCTCATAGCATCACCAGCGGTTCGTTGGGGATGAAACTGTAAAAGGATTGAGCCCATCAAGATTCCAATTATCAAATATATTTCGGAAGTATTCGATTTTATTGATTTTCTCTTTTATTATATCGATTCCATACGGTTTTTAAATCTAAATATACATTGTTTTGCGTTTCAAACGTGTCAGGTTTAGTGAAACGTATTTATGGAACGTGAGTTTACCTATTGTTCCCATTTTCAGAGCTGTGCCTTATCACATTTAGCCACCTCCCCTCATAATCGCCTTGGTTCGAGTTCAGGCAATCGCCTTTATTTGCCTTGTCTTTTTTTGCTTATTTCGTATTTTACTTGGGGCATTGGTGTACTAACCCAACGATGCATTTTAGACTGCTCTCCATTAACCGAAGTTAGGCGCTTTCAATTTAATTCACGAAGTGTAAATATTACTATTAGTGCCTTTTAATGGGAGAACACTCTTGATTTGATTTAATTGCCTTCGCAGAACTTGAAGGAGTAGGAGTGCCAACACAACTCAATTCTCTCTCTCTCCTTTTCAGAGGTGGTTCGGACACGAATGCGTGAACGAGGTAATAAGTACCGAACCTTCATGGGCACGTTTATGACAGTGCTGCGGGAAGAGACTTGGCGAGGTCTCTATCGAGGTCTAGGTACTCACTACATTCGTCAAGTGCCAAATTCTTGCATTATGATCGGGACCTACGAGTGGGTTGTCTATCTCCTGCACTCCTGGAACCTTGTCGCTGCTCGAAATGAATGAGCCGGCTCAATGATGATGATGATGCATTTAAGCGCCTGTCTCTGCCTTCAATTTAGTATATGTCTGGATGTATATATGGTAGAGCTCTCTCTCTCTTATTAACCTTCTCCCCCCTCCCTCTCCCCCCCCCCTCCCCACTCCGCAGCCCAGACCTCCTAACTGAATTTGTACAGCTGTTGCCGCTATTGCCTCACTCTTCGTTTGATCAGACGGGGTCTAATAATTTTATGCAAAATGAAGATTTGAGGAATTATATAAAACTACTTAAAAAGTTGGTGAGACTTGTTTCCTAATTCTTCCTCACTAAGGCGTTTGCAAATTGTGGGTAATAATTGCGAATTCGTTGTTTGATTTGGTGTTATCGGTTAATTTCTTTGAGAAAATGTGGTTATATTTACTAAATCTCTCCCCCTTTTTATACTTCAAAGTCAAGGAACTGAGAATTTGCTGATCGCGTAAATTCAAGTTAGGAAGATGAAGGGCTTTTCACTGAGTATCAGTTTTTAAGTTTTGATAGTTATCATCAGCCCTTTAGTTGGCTTCAGCCTTCACAGGGGGGAGGAATATCAAAGAAATAGAAAGTCGAGGGGGTGGGGAACAGAAGAGTGATTTACAAATGTAAAAGAGACAGACACAAAGGTGGAGAAATGGTAGCACGAGTACTGTGGAAGTGGTAGAATATGCCATACAGTTGGGTCATGGTAGTTTGAAGTCAGAAGTCAACTGCCAGTCAATAGACTTTTTTGCCGTATGGGTATACGTTGCCCAGGGTGCACCACGTGGAGGTACGTCTATTGCACACCCCGTTTTTAAATATCTAGCAGACAGTACGACAGGGATGGCGGGGGAGACCTAGGACATGCTCTGTACCTCATATCCCTTCAATTGTCGCTTATAAATTGAGTGATACCAATCTTAACATGTTTGTCTGTAATGGACTTCCACTCTAGTTAACCCCCAACAATCCTAACCCTAATTTTAACCAGGGACATAGAATAAATTTAAGCATTGGAAGGTAATATTATGGAAGTGTTTGCCAATTGGCATTATTATTCTGACGAAACGGAATAAATTTATAGGACAAAGTCTACTGATTTTTCTACACTCTCGTGATTTTTTTTCTCTCGAGGTTTACTTAACTGAGACAAAAAGAACTGCTTTATTTTAAGACAAATGTGTCACGAGTACGCATGATTGTTTACAAGTTATGGAAACCAGTTTGGTCAAGAAAATGCAAATCTTTGAGAGGATCTTGCCAATAAAAATTGGTGCTGAGATTTTCCATTAATCATTATTATTCCATCCAATGGCAGAGTTTATGATATTTATCATTAGCCCATTCTTCCCATTTATTATAATATGATTGCACAATTCAATATGCTTTTCAGGGGGTGTGCGATAGACTTACCTCCACGTGGTGTACCCTAGGCAACGTATACTCATACGGCAAAAAAAATCTATTAACCGGCAGTTGACTTCTCACTTCAAACTACCATCACCTCACTCTATGCCATATTCGAATATTTTACACATTACTCACCTCACCTTTGTTCTACCTTTGTGTTTGTCTCTTACATATTTGAAACACTCTTCTGTTCCCCCCCCCCTATCGACTTTTTCAATTTGATGTTCCTCCTCCCCTCTGTGAAGTCGGAAGTCAACTAAAGGGCTAATGATAACCATCGAAACGCCTGTCATTTGATATAAATAAATATGCTTTTCAGCGTAAAGAATTGTTGTAAATTTTCTCGACGATGGAGAGAGAGAGAAGGAGAGAGAATGCTGGCTATATCGAAATCTCGTTGGAATTGACAACCGCTTCGACTCTGGGTCCGAGTTTCAAATTGAACTAGGCATGTTCAACCTTTGCTGGTTTGGGTCTGAAAAACTATACCCATCTTCACAAATGTAGATCAGAGAAGCTGAAGCATCAAAGTACCATCCATAAACTCAAGACTAATTTTTAATGGCGCTTTTTCCAACTATCGGTTGTTTCATTGATTCGGTTACCCTCACATTCAGAGGATTGAATTTTTCACTCATTTTTGCTATTCCTCCTTCATTCGCCTCTTCAAGTGAGAAGTGGGTGGATAAAATTTTGACAAATTTATTGAAAACCTCTTCGCTGCATTTTAGTCATTTAGCGTAATTCTGATATGAACCTAGCAAAATTATGACACTTTGAGTCATATTGGGGATTAGTTTTGGGCCGATAACATTCAAACCTGGGGTGCGTAATAGACTTACCTCCACGTGGTGCACCCTGGGCAACGTATACTCATACGGCAAAAAAGTCAATTTATCGGCAGTTGACTTCTGACTTCAAACTTCCATGACCCTATTGTATGTCATATTCAATCATTTCCCCCCATACTTATCCTACCTTTTCTCTGCCTTTATGTCTGTCTTTTTAACATCTTTAAACACTCTTCTGTTCATCCCCCCCCCCCTAGACTTTTTCCGATTTGATGTTCCCCTTCATCCGTGAAGCCTGAAGTCAACTAAAGGGCTAATGACAACTATCATAAAGCCTGCCATTTGATATAAATAAATAAATAAATAAACATTCAAACCTTCAGCCGGAAATGCCGGCGAGTAGCCTTAGGGGAGAATGAAGCCGCTTGATAAAGTCAAATTTGTGATCACGTGATAGATGCACGCAAAACTGTCTAGCTCACGTACTTGTCCGCGGGGCTTTTAAAATCACCCTAAATAACACTGCACTTTCAGAATATCTGCAATAAAAGTCAATGACTTACTTAATAGTTCGATTAAACGAATTCCAGGCAACAACTTAAGAAGTTGATTCATCCAAATAAATAAAAAAATAAGAACAATAGACAATATTGAAAAATTTTATGCATTTACAATAAAAAACTAAATGATTTGCATAATCTGCACATTTTTTAACCGTTCACTAAAACCAGCTTGCGATAAATTGTAACAAAATTAGATTTAAAATTCCCATTTTTATACAGATGCCTCCAACTTGAATATCGAGATTTGGAACATTAACTTTGCCCGTGCGAATGAATGAATAATGTTTTCATGAAGAGTATTATGTCCTTACAAATTTAAGGTCTATTGTTTTGGAAGTGAAAATTCGACAGGCAACTGGGAGAATATGAACCTTCTTCGAGTGAAGTCAATCGAAGGTATGCTTTTAACGTACATCTTGACGCAAATCTTTATGAAAATCGTTTGCTATTTATTTCAAATGGCAGGCTTTATGATATCTTTGCCATTAGCCCTTAAACTTACACTTCAGCTTCTCCCAAGGGTGGGGGGTACATAATAAATTGAAGTCAAATCAAATGCCGAGTGATAGCCTTTATTGCCGTACGAAGATACGTTGTCCAGGGTGCACCACGTGGAGGTAAGTCTTTCGCGCACCACATGAAAATTGTTTGTTAAGGTTCTTATTGAAGTACACACTTTTGCCCTGAGTGATTCAATACCAGGACCAGATTTTGTTGTTTATTTTAAATGCATGTTTTTTTATGAACCTAGAAGAAGAAAAATTGAGCTTAAATGAATCAGCTGCCGAGGTTATAAAAGCGAATATCTCCAAATTACTAAACGACCTTAGCGAAATCAATGATGAATCTCTTCACCATAATTTCATTCATCTTTGCAATAACGGAGTGTGGGATAGACTTACCTCCACGTGGTGCACCCTGAGGAAAGTCTACTCATACGGCAAAAAGTCCATTAACTTCCAATCGAATTCTCACTTCAAACTACCATGACCCCACTCTATGTCATTTTTCACCACTTTCACAGTACTCCCCTTACCTTACTCTCGACCGTTGTGTCTGTCTATTTTACATCTTTGAAACACGCTTCTGTTCCGGCAGTTGACTTCTCACTTCAAACTATCATCACACCACTGTATGTCATATTCGACTGCTTCCCCAGTACTTACCTCACCTTTTTTCTACCATCGTGTCTGTCTCTTTTACATCTTTGAAACGCCCATCTGTTCCACCCCCCGCCCTCTTGACTATTTTTTCACTTTGATGTTCCTTCCCTCTGTGAATCCTGAAGTCAACTAAAGGGCTAATGATAACCATCAAAAAGCCTGCCATTTGATATAAATGCTTGCAACAACTGGCACCCTGGAGTACTTGCTCCGAATACTTGAATTAAGTGGGTTTTTGAACACCGCACACATTTCTTTTACAAAGGCAGAAGAAATGTTTTTTCCATTTTCTCAAAGAGGCTCAAGACCAAATAGCGAGATCCAAAAATTCGGTGTCAAGTGTATCTAACAAGTGGATAAGCACTATGCATCGTTGTTTTGGTGTGTGATCACGTAAATCAACGTGATAACGCACAAATGACACATGATACCTTTGTGCCTGTCTAGCTCTTTTGTATCTGCGAATCGTTCTTCTGTTCCCCACTCCTCGACTTTCTGCTACTTTGATGAACCCTCCCTCTGTGAAGCCCGAAGTCAGCTAAATGGCTAATGATAGTCATATTTGAAATAAATAAATATTAACAGTCATTGGGGGCAATAGCGATGGATGTATTTAGAATGAAAAGTAAGAAATCATTCCTTGATCCTAGCTGAAACCTCGTTGAAGAAGTATTCAACTACGATATGTTTACAACTGCAAGAAACCTTGAAGAGCTGTGCATAATCTGGAGAGGAAAAAGTGGAAGATTTTTCAGTTTCATTATTTAATTCTAGTAAAATTTATTTATTTCAAAGGGCAGGCTTTAGTTGAATTTGGGCTTCACAGAGGGGAGGAAAATTAAAGTCACAAAAAGTCTAGAGGAAGGAGCAAAATATTAGGTTGGCAACAAAGTCATTGCCGATTTCAAATAAGAAGGCAAATTCGCAATTTTTGTTTAAAAATATAACTTTATTCAATTAGATATTGGCCGTTCTTGTCGATTACCTTTTTCCATCGTTCTGGCGGAGTAAAAATGCCCCGTTCGTAAAATGTCTGGTCTTTGCTATTAAAAAACTGAATTAGGTGTGATCCGACATC